TATTCTGTTCTCTTAACTCATTTCTTTGTCTTTTCTGAACAACTTATTCACCTTGATCTTTGAATTGATCGCTATGTCAGAGTATATCTTAATAGGAATAGATCACGTTAAATATATGAATCTATTATCAAGAACGTATGTCTCAACCGAGATAATTTAGATGATATACATATAGATCCAAACTCAATATAACTTGACCTAGTGAATTTAAAATATTGAATAATAGTTCATTCAATATATTTATTCTCTTTTTTCAATCTAGTATAAAAGATTAATAAATATTAGATCTATGCAAATGTATTTCATTTGTATCTCTTACAGATTATTTCGTTGAAAAGATATAAAAAAAAGTAATCGCTTGCTTATTTACACTAGTGAGTTTTTTTCATTCTGTTACATTAACACACTATAAATAAAAGGTAAGGTTTTATCTCTTATAGACAACGTGCTAGTGTAACAGAACGAAAAGGGAAGAAAAAAAAATCACGTTATTTTGTGTTAATAATAAGTTTTCATATAGCTCAAAAGTATCAGTCTTACTTTGAAGTAAAACAAGATAAAATAATCGATGAATTAGTTAATTTTATTATATCTCGTCGAATAATACAGAAACTAAACAAATATATATTTTCTTAAAAACTTGTCTAATCTATCTGCAGATTGTTCATATATTGAAATATTATTCAATCCAAAATTTGTATGAGATTCTACTAGTTTTTCATATACTTTAATCAATAAAAAGACATTAAACGATTATTCTATCCGTTAGTTAATATCTAGGTGAAAAAGAAAAAAATATATATATATTATAGATTGTATTGCATGATGGTATAAATACGAACAAACACGCATAAATATAGATAAATTTCATCTCATTTTTTTTCTTTATCAAGGTAATTTATATTAATGAAAAGATTTTTCTTTTCTAGAAAACAATTCTATATATTTAACATTGACTTGTTCTTTTTTTTTATGAAAAACTCTTTGAAGATAATCTTAGAGGATAATTAACATTTTGAAATGCAAAATTAAATTGATGGAACATTGTAACAAAGAATAAGATGTATAGATTATTTTATTCTTGTTCGAATATTTTATTTTATTGGAATTACAATGACGAACGGATGGGTTAATATTATCACTATCCTCGGTATATTACTTCATTATCCATTTGTGTTCATATCACACAAAGGTGAGAGAACAAAAAGAATAAAATATACATTAGTTTTGTTTATCAATACTATTTATACTGAAATGAAGAATATTTCTCAATAAATATAAACTTATCTATAGTAGGAAACGAAAATAATCTAATTTTTTGTTATTTATCAAGAAGAATTGCTCGATTAGGTAACAATCAATTCTATTAAAATCAAAGTGTTTTACCTATTTGGCGTAATTACCATTTATCAAGATATTTTGATTATTTTACATATATTATTATAAAATTTGAATAGAATATAGACTATTGAATATAGAAGAAAGATTTTTTTAAAATAATTTAATCGATTTGAATGCAAGTTAAGATAATTTGCTTAATCGATATGATTTAATAGTAAGATAATTGTATGATGAAATTAAAAAGAAATTGCTTTGATTTGATTGTTTAGAAATAAAGGTATTTTATTATTTAAATTGAGTTATTTTCAACGAGAACTTGAAATATTTTTATTTTATCATTTAAATGAAAGAAAGGAGATGGTTGATTCTATTAAGAATTATTTGTTTTTTTAAAACTTAATTTTATATTTTTATTTTAGATGATGAGAATAGTCACGATAGTATATCTAGAAAATATCGAACTTACTAGAATAAAAACTGATCATCGATATAAATGTAAATATACTTGATTTCAATTGATAATTTACTTTTTCTTAATAATATTCATAGAATTAGGATATATAAGAACATGTTTAAGAGAAAGCGAATTGTTTAAATATTTTAAATTTAATATCGATGAAGTTCAATATTAATAATTGGTGAGAAGAATAAATATTGTTGGAGTCGTTTTATTAACTGATTCATAATGATCAATAAAAATGAAATGATTTTTGTTAAATTTCAAAGTCAATTTCTAATATATTTTATTATTTTCATTGATTTTCATTTCTGTTATCAACTATATTTCGATTTCAAGTCAAACTTTCAATCTGTTTCCATGACTGGGTTTAATTATTAAATTGAATTAATCAAAAAATATCCTCATTGTTTTTTTTAATATTTATCTTTAAAAATAAGTTCGAAATATTGAATTATGATTTTGATTGAAATTGAATAAAAGTAAATGTTCTTTTTTTCAAAATATTGCTCATTTATATCTTCGCTCAATAAAGACCAAATTAATTTCTCTGTTGAGAAGCATTTATTTTAATTTCTTTTTTCTACTCCAAGAACTATTCGATAAGAAAAATGATGAGAGTTACTTCAATTGAAAAAGCATTTTATAGTTTGAAGTATAATGATACGATATTCAATAAAATCTCAATAAATAATAATTAATTTCGAAATTAGTATTCAGACATATTTCTCAATAATTATCTCGCATTATAATCTTGTTAGATTAATTTAAAACCGTCGTCGATAAAGGAAACAAAAGCATTAACAGGCTAAACAACAATTTATGATTTGTTTAAGTGTTCTATTATTCGTTTTTATTTATTTTCCTTCAACTTTAAATCTTCAATACATTGAAATAATTTGTTCGACTAGAGAAAAAAGAAAAGGATATAATTTTTTCATATATGATCTATTCACTGAGAAGATTTGAGAAAACTTTCTTGTTTTATCATTATTTGAATAAAATCAGCAAAATCATATGCATCATCAGAATATCATAGGAATTTCTAGTCGATATTTTATCTAACCAAACCTTAGATCATTTTCCGACTGATTATCGACATTGAGATTTTCAAAAATTTCATTAAAGACTTAAAGAAATCGATTTGAATCAAAATTAAATTGTTAGTCAAAGAGAAGAAGATCATATTGTTTGAATTATCTTTGTGTATGAACGGATCTCTGACAATATTCTCAACGTGATAGATATAAATATTCGATGAGAATGAATAATGATAAAAGAGTAATTTTCATCTCAATAGATCTTTTCTATTAGATTAAAAGGATCAATAGAAATAAACGATTTTCCTTCAATCGATTCATTTTAACGAAGGAAACTTTTTTATTTCATAGAAATATATTTTAGAAAAATTGATTTCTTCAAAACAGAAACGAAAAATGATTATTGAAAATTGTTTTTTCTTATCCAAGTTGTGAAATTATTTATAACAGTTTCATAAATAACTTTAACATTATATCAATACAAAAAATTTTCTATCAATTAATCAATATGATCTCACTTTTAAGAATAAGATTTCTATGAAATGAAAGATCTATTTAAACAGAAATCTGAAAAACAATAATTATCAGCAAAGAAATTTTTTAAAAAATATTTATGAATAAGTTCTATAAAAAATTATCTTGAATTGACTTTTTAACAAAAAGTTATTTCTATTGCCAATTAAGACCATAGAAAACTAATCCTCTTTTAACTTCAATATAGGAAATTTATAAAAATCTCATTGAAATATTTTCGACAATAATATACTTATTTTCAACAAAAAAAACCTCACAGTTAACATTGTTTCAATTAAATACCATCAGATAATCATTCATATTATTCTTACCAATAGACCGTTGATTAATCATTAATATTACTTTATCGGTTTGTTTTATATATCGAAATTATGAAAAGCATATATCTTAGAACTTGAATATAAAATGAATAAATTGCGATATATGTGTCCTTAATTATTACGATATAATAATAAAAACCAACACTAATTTGAAAAAATACTTGACAAAACAATTTTTCATTCTTGCCTTTTGATAACATCTGACTATAAAGAGTTACTGGTATAGTTCACTTTTTGAAATATTTGTTTAACAAAATGGCTTCTTTATCAACTTATTGAATACCATTTAGCAAGAATGATTTTCACTGAAGCGCTACTTATTGTTATTAATGGCTATCAGACTATGAAATTAGATAAGATTCCAAAAGATGAAAGAGATTTATCAACTACAAAAATAATTGGGTGGGTGTGGGTGTGATAATCTATTCTTCATATAATAACCACACTCACACCCAAACCAACATCCACGCCCACACTCACACTCATACTAACATCATTGTTGTTCATGTTCAAATCCAATACAAAAATTTTCTTTTGAATGTGATAATAAAACGGATAGAGATGTTTAGTCGTATCCAAGTGGTAAGTTTTCATCCTTATCATTACAAAGATAATCTCTGGAACCTGCTATTTTGCGTTTTATTGATAACGCTAAATAAAAAGGTTATTAGGATACTTCCATTTTATCATCTTGGATTTTTTTATCGACTTATTCAGATGATTGTTTTAGGATAAGTTAGATTTTTACAGAATTTAGTTAAAATCTATAATTCGTATTGATATGTTTTGAGATGAATATTATGAGGTAGAATGAAAATGTTTTAAGTAAGAAGTTTTTATCATTATAAGGATAGAATCTGTTCGATAAGATGTGAGTGTGAATATAATTCAGCCATCCATATATCACTTTTAATCACGAACCCATACCGTCAAGTTTCAAGTGAGATTCTAAGACAGCCGACGATAAAAGTATTATGTTTTCTGACATTGTACAGATGAAGAATTATGGACATAATTTGTATTCTGTTACTCCTGTTGTGTGTAGACGTTAGTGACGTTATTGCTAAGAATGAGAGAAAAAAAACAATTTACTGTCGTTTGTTAATGTGTTACAAGGCAAACAAAGTGAAATGAGCAACAGAAACTAGGTTTGAATGCGAGTGGGGATGTATCTTTTCTTTATACTCTTACTCAAACTTACACTCACATCCACTCTAAAATCGTATCATATCAATATCATACTGCTCACTTGTACAAGTTATTTCCATGACCGATTCAACATTAGCTTCAATGAATTAATATAAGGATGAATTAAATAACAATTAGAGCGAATTTGAAGACATTTTGTTTTTAACCTAAATAGATATTATTTAATCCAAATCACATTCTATTTTCATTCTGAGTATATCTACTAAAACGAATCGAATGATTCAAAATCCAATACAATATTCGTGTCAAAAATAAAAAGATAATTTATTGGTTACCAAATAAAAATGAGATATGATTATGAAGTAGAATAATATGACATTAGTACGTATATAAGAATAAAAATAAAAAGTATAGTTAGTTGAAAAAAGAAAAAGTGTTTCTGTTGTTCAGTTAAAATTTGATTTCAGATGATAGGCATATCTGTTGTTGACTTCTTTCGAAATACAACTCGCCAATATTGTGAACGTCCTTGGCTCATGTCTTCATAAATTTGAGTACCAGGTAATCCAGCAAACCGATGAAAATATTCTTGTTCTTCGGTTTGAATATACCGTTGAATGAAATTAGTACGAGATTTATTTTAAATGTCAAGTGCATGAAGAACATTCTTTGTAATATTAATCTTTTCTTCAATGATTAAGTCATTATTTGCTATCAGATCATAAATTGATGTATCTGATCCATTCATGTAACAAAAATCACACCATAGAAGATATCCATTTGGACGAAGTACACGAGTGACTTCATTAGCAAACTGTGTGATTGCTATTGATTCGCCAAAAGCATGTGTTGTTTCAATACAAAGAATAATATCAATTGACTCATTTTCAAATGGTAAATGTTTTGTTGCATCAGCTACTACGAAAGAAAGTCGAGGAACTGTCGAATAAAGTCGTTGACATAAGTTAATGACATCTTGAGATGGATCTATTCCAATGTAAGAATGAAATGCATGAGTATGAACACACCATGCAGCACCAGCACCTCTGCCACAATTAATTTCGAGGACCTTCTTATCTGTTACTGTCATACTTGCAAGAACCTAGAAAATAAAATAAAATATTTTAATCATGACTTGTATATCGGAAAATCTCATAAAATGTTCGATTCTTCTTTGTATATCAACTCGACTATATATAAATAAGTTGATTTGAATGATTTGCTTTTCATATTTAGAGTGTATAGCATCTAATAAAACAATCTTATATTCATATCCATACAAATTCCTTATCAATCACAGATTATGACTATCTCTGTTAATAGTAGATGCGAGGTAGAACAAAAAAGAAACACTAAAATAGAGTCTTGTATTCTTTTCTACATACCTGTTCATAAAGCTTTCTTGAATAATAGCCAGTATGATCATCAATATATTCATCCATATCGGCATAGCCATAATTCATAAATTGTAAGTCGTTTACACTCGTATAAATACTTGCAATTCGTTCGTACCAGAGAAACAATTTGTTAATGTTCTCGTATCTTGGCTGATATTTTGCTAGATTGTCATGAACTATTGTCGGCCGTTTTAATCTTGCATTTGCTGTATAAGATTCTAGAAAAGAGAGATTTAATATAATAAAACGATGAATAAATTCATATGCAATAATTAGAAGTAAACAGACTAACTTCAAACGGAGCTATGTTAAAGAATAAAATATCAGAGTACAGATATGAAAAAAAACGTATGATAAGTATAAAAAGATGTAAGATTTTTGTGTCCATTTCGAAAAGAGTGTGAATGCACAATCTTATCAAGATGTTTGATGTATAGTTTTTTAATTTTTCAGTCTAATTATCAAACTAGTTAATTCAACTACAGTTTAAAACGTTACAATCCGGTACTTTATCGTATCTTCGTATCAATGTATTTAAAAAAAATATTGATTGTCAATTGATTTTGTATCACAAATTATTATTTATTAATATGAAATGATATCTTTAAACTGATCTAATACTAGTACGAGATGCTGATAAAGAGATTTAATCGAATTCCATATCAACAAAAGAATATGATAAAAAATAGGTTCATTGTAGTATGTCATATGTTATGGTCAACGGAATAGTTTAGAAAGAATATAGTATCAGTGAAAAAGAACATTAATAAAATGATTTTTGTCATGGCTTGTCAGCAAAAGATCTAGAAAATGCTATACTCAATTCAGCTTCTTATGTCGGAACTATTTTATGTTCATTTTTAAGAACAGTATATCTCACTAAAAAGAAATGAGATGATATAAAAAAATGAATATTATTAACAATTAGACAATATCTTGAAAGTGTTACATAAGAGCAGATTATCTGCCTGAGTGACTTACGTGCAGGAATTCCCTTCCAGTGAGTATTCAGTGATAATTGATCATTTTTCATTATTAATGTCATGGGATAAAGACGATTGTTACCCATCAGTTTGCAACTTGCCATTACAATGGAGCCACTCATAAGTACACATGAATTACCGATTGATACAGGAGCTAGTTTTAAAATACGCTGTTCGAAACTGTGACCCTTAAAAGATTCAGAAAAACAATTTTATGTGGAAGTAAATAACAAAAAACTTATGCATTACCTGTATCTGTGTACCCACATGAACTCGGACATTATCTCCAATAGTCACCAAAGGATAATCGACAATATAGGATATATCAGGCACTATACTATTCTCACCAATACGAGCGCCATATGCTCGAAATATTTGAATCAGCCATTGCGTATTACCAAGAAATGGACAAATAAATTGTACATAATCGTGAGTCATTCATATTAGTATTTGTTGTACAATTTGATGGCGTCTATATGAATGATATTGATAGATGCCACAGACAAGTATTGTATGAATAATTGATCCACCAACGAGGTCAACAAACGAATAAATGCTTAATAAAAGACATTTGCTGACATAATGAGACAAGCATGTATGTCAAAATGGTATGATTTTTATCTGATCTTGTATTTGTAGCCTTACAGGCATTTGAAATGGCGTTGTACGCGCTGGAACACCAACAAATACTTCTCTATATTTGCTTTTTGTTTCTCGTGAGATGCGTGTTAAATTGCCACTCATTGTCTCAGATGCAAGGTAACTGCCAGGCAAGATTGAACATCCATTCGCAAGGTTTGTATGAAATCCAAGCATTATTTGATCTACACGATGATCACCTGAGAGTGTCAACTCAGTAGAAACTATTAGGACTCCACCAAAAGCAGTAACACCCATTTCGGGTTTTAATAGATTTGTTGGACAGGATAGGAAAGTGTCTATCTCAGCGAGTTTGACATTCTCTTCAATATGAGCATCTAACCAACGGAGAACGTAAGGATAAAGATAATCGTAGCTAGTCGATAATAGTCAAGCATGATGAAAACTAGATACAATTAATTGACGAAGTCATATTTTTTGTAAATATAACCTAGATGCTATCGGATATATTTCACCAGCATCACAGGGCCCTACTATGAGTTTCAACAGGAGAAGCGAAATAAAACAGCCAATAACTGACCATAAAGTCCAGAAAAAAGCAATACTGATTGGTAGTGGCATTTGTCTCATTGAATAAACTTTATATATTATGATCAAAAGTGTATAATGAATACAGGTTATCGAGATGATTACAATAATTTGGTAGATCTTATGCCATATGGAGAATGATCTGTTGTTCTACACACCGGAGATGTCTGACGGACGCGATTTGTGTTCTTCACCATCGACAATCGTTTCAGATGCGATGAAGCCAGTGACTAATGACATTGGTTGAATAATAATATTATTTTGCATATCAACTCCATCAAATAGAATCGATCGCGTTCCTATTGAACAATTAGATCCAATTCTAATTGGACTCAGTTTGAAAGTGTTATCATCATTAAAATATAAACAGTTCAGACACGTTTCATTAGCAATCCAAGTTTCATCATCAATTTCTAACAACCATGGAGCATCAATAGTTGTGGTATAAATATGTGCGTTGAGACTAATGCGCGCACCACAAAGACGAAGATAATAATTGTAGAGTGGTGTGCCAAGTATATGCTGCAACCAAAATGTATTATTATTCCAAAGTCGATCTAAAAACCACCATCGATAATAATTCCAAGAGAATAGATTATCTGTTTTGATGTAGCCTGGTGCGAATAGACGTGAGCAGATGACATAGAATAAAAGATGAAAAGCTGGTAAGACAGGAAAAAAGAATGGACACCATCGATGAATTATTATAATTGGCCATAACCATTGACTAACAAGAAATACAATACCAACAGATTCTAGAACAAACGAAGGTGAACAACGAAGATGTGTTTCATGAGATTGGTTGGTTGTGAACACTGCATCTTGTGGTGTCTCCAAAATTAATAAAGGCTCAATAGCTTGTGCTAATTGTCGAATAGATGGATTAGTAAGTAGCAGACGAATGTCAGCCTCTTTACATATCTCTCGACGTATCAATGTAAGGGCATGTATCATGTCTAAAGATGTTCCACCCAGTTGATTAAACGAAGCTTCGACAGAAGCAGATTCAACGCGAAAGACTTGGCTAAAAATATCTTGTAATTGTTGTTCAAGTCTGGTAAGAGGTGAATTAATGTTATCATCAGAACTTGAAGTCGAAAAGCTCGGTGATGGAAGACGTTTTCGATCAATTTTCCCATTTGCATTGAGAGGAAAATTATCGAGAATGATGAAGAGTGATGGAATCATATGAGCTGAAAGTTGAGACTGACATTGTGTGGGTGTAAGTATGGGTAGGTGTGCGTGTGGGTATGAGTGCCTTTTCACTATCCCTCAATCACACCCACACACCCATCTAACTTACATCCACACGTAAAGTTAATCTAATTAAAGAATGATCTTTAAAACCCGAACATTTTCTGTAATATACAATTACTGTGTACCATACAATTGTTTGATATTTTGTTTATTGATTTTAGTTATCTATAGTGCTTAGGGTCATTTTCAATTTCAAATGTTATAATAAACATCAACTATGGCACATAATCATTATTACTAATTAATGTAGTGATAGATTGAAAACATATCTGATGATTGACAGTCTAAGCAACCGCCGAAACGCGTCGTATGATGTTTTGAATCTCATCATCTTTATAAATACACTCACGCCCTCAAGGTTTTCTGGATAAATTAATAGCTCCTTTCGATCAAATAGTAAGCGATAATGAGTGCTTTTGATAGAACGCACTGATGAGTGTGGTGCGAGTGTAGGTGTGGCGTCCCAGGTCAACCAATCCAATATTGGATCCGATCGGATCTTATAGAATCCGATCATCCGACAGAATCCGATAGGATTTCTGGTGACGGATTTGCATTGAACTCCGTACGGAAAATTTTCAGTCACTTGCTGCAAATTTGATGAGTGGCGTTTTTAGCTATTTTCTATGATGGCCTTATGGTCGGTCTTGGTGGAAAACATCGAAAAGGAAAACGTCGAAAGAGAAAAATTTAGAAAAAAAACAAAAGAGGAAAACGTCGAAAGAAAATAATGAAAAGAGGAAAACGTCGAAAAGGAAAATATAGAAAAGGAAAATATAGAAAAGGAAAATATAGAAAAGGAAAATCTCGAAAGGGAAAATGAAGAAAAGGAAAGCGTTGAAAATAAGAAGAAGACAAAGAGGAAAATATCGAAAGAAAAATGTGGACGAGGAAAACGTCGAAATGATTGATCATTTTTTTATGTATGTTAAGTAGTATATTTATTAGGTTATAAGAAAAAAGATGAGAGAAAATTTATAATGTAATAAAATCTTATTTTTTTTTCTTTCCAATTAACAATGAGAAGCCTGTCAATAACTCGTTCGCGTTAATTTCCTTCTTGGAAAATCTGTTACATAGAGTATCAAATCGCGCCTGAAAAGCTTTTGTTTTTATTGATTGTGGTGGTGCAGATGCACCAGCAGCAAGTTGTAGTAAAATACGCTCGAAACGAACATGTTCATCTTGTATCAATTTAATGAAACTCCAAATATTTGGATGCTTTTTGGACAACCGAGTTGCAAATCGAAGGTTATATGCTAAAGTATAAATAATGACAGAGAGTTTTCAAATGAAATAAATGAAGAACAGCAATATTCTCACCTTCACATATATTGTTTGTTCTGTGGGTGACTTCATGAAAATTCCACATATGAATCGGCACGACACCATGCACCCATTGATTTTTAAAATACAATACTAAATTATCTAATGATATTGTCATGATTGTTTGTAAACGTTTAAATTGATCTTCTACTTCATCAATTGGCATTAAACTTAATGCCATTAGTTGGAGGCATTGATCCCGAATAGTATCATTATTCAAATAGTCGCGAGCCAAACCCAAATCTGTAATTTTCCTATGAATCGATTGATTAAAGTGAAACATACATCCAGAATGTATGGCAGCAGGAAACTAACAAATACAGAACAGTATCTTAAACTTATTGATCATATATTATAAATGTACCAAAGCTTACCTCCTGACCGACAATAGGCAATAAACCAGGTTCATAATCTGTAATTATAAGTTTAGGATTAAACTGTTTTCCCATAAGAATCGCCTCATCTTTTAATCGTTCGAATAAATCAGTGTATGTTGTACCACGCTTATTCGGTAACAAACAAAATGCAACAGGTAATCCTGCAATATATGAATATAATCATCAAGGATACTATAAATAATTTATACATACCCTGACCGAATTTTTGAGCATGTATTTAATATACGTGTTTAAAATTATGTGGTGTGGAATCAAATGTACCATCCATGAAAATGGTTTAACTTTCAAATAACAGTTCTAACTGATTCTTGCTTGCGAAAACCAACACTCGATCTTTACCACGTTTCAGGAACACATCTATCAATAAGAATCGTTCAGATAGAAGTGTTTCTTGATAAAATTTTGGGATATTGAACACCTCCCATAATGGTATAACAGGTGTTTTTTTCCGTCGAGCTTTACTCATGTTAGATCCTTAATATTAAAATAAAAAATTTTAAGTAAAATATTTTAATGATATATTTATAATACATACGAAATTCAACAATTGTTGGCATGATAGCCGTTGCACCTTTAGAAAGTTTCGCTTTTGCCATTTCTTCATCATAGATTCTAGTTATGGATGTAGTTTCACCTAATATCCGTGCTTTCATTTTATCACGTAAAAGTTTTACTTCTATTTGATCTGGATTTACAGGATGAGTATGTGTACCATTAATACGTGTAAATTCATCTATTAAACTTGTATGTAAGTACACACCACATTCTCGTTCAACACATGACCAGTATTTTGTCTCATTGTTTTCTTTATTAAAATTGAATATGGCATTTTCATATATTAATTGTGGTTCACCTTTGTTCGATAAGGTAAATAATACTTCAGATTGGTGAATTTTAAGTGAACTAATTTTAGATCCGATGCTTGTTGCCATTTAAATTATATGTATATTTATAATATGAAAAAATTTCCTTTGTTAAACGAAAATTAGAATATACTAGTTTCAGGAGTGACCAATAAGAAGGAAAACAATTCATTTTTTTGTACTGTAGTCTTTTAAAGTTTCGACGTTTTCCTTTTCTACATATTCCTTTCGATGTTTTCCTTTTCATTATTTCCTTTCGACGTTTTCCTCTTTTGTTTTTTTTTCTAAATTTTTCTCTTTCGACGTTTTCCTTTTCGATGTTTTCCTACAACACCTTATGGTCACCTATCAGATCCGTCTAGATCCGTTTGTTGGAAATTGTGAGATGCGATGTTGGATCCGATTGGATCCAACCACAACGGAATCCGAAGTGATTCCGTCACCAGGAATCCTATAGGATTTTGTCGGATCGTCGGATTCCGATAGAATCCGGCATAGGATCCGAATATGGGATTGGTGCACCTGGGACGTTAGGTGTTGATGATATTCTTCTCTTCACCCACACCCTAAAATTTAATAGTAATAAGGAGATAACGATACTATGAACACGTTAAAATTAGAATGAACAGTAGTAGTTCTTTAGTATTAAGTGATATAGTGCACGTATTTCATTTATTTTTATTTAATCGTGTTTATGTCGTTTCACAAGTGATAATACCGATATTTATTAGATTTTTAATAAAAATTAAAAATAACTAAGAAAAAAAATAAGATAAATTAGAAAAATTAAACTGAAATGATTATTGTCTATTCAAGAAATGTATATATCGATGATTTCAAAATAATATACATTTAACAGCAAACAAAGCTAAAATAAACTGAGAATTTTCTTTTTCTTTTTGTAAGTTTATTGGTTTCTAAATTATCGCATTTATTCTGTTTGCTATTTATTTAATAGATTCACTACATAATTGCATATATCGACAATTTGCTTTTCATTAAATAACCAAGAGGAATGGCTATCGTCATACATTTGAAATAACTGAATATATTCATGATTCACTAGTGTATCAAGATTATTAAATGATGTGTTGGTGTAGTATGAATCTGATTCTAACTGATCGTTCAATGTAAAGTTTTCATCCACCTTGTTAGCTTTAAATAATACAATGTTTGTATTTCTGTTGGTTATATTCAATCCAAATGGTTCATTGTCTATCATCGGTAAATAAGAATAGTTTATTGAACCGATAACATCCACTTTATCTATTTTGCCAATTTCAAAAGAAGCCTTGCTTACATTAAAGTATGAGTCGATCATAAAAATATTACCAACTTTCTCGCCACCATTAATCAATTGACGAGAAAGTTCAAATGATAGGGTGCCGCCAAAACTCCAGCCTAGAAAGTTATATGGACCATCATGTTGGATTTCTTTTATATACTTTATGTATACAAGAGCTAATGTCTCGAACGAGACGCCTTTTTCCATATTTTTTGCTTTAAGATCAAGATAATAATTGTTGAATATTACCAGTTTATATTGCGATAAATAAGGCACAATGTTGCTGAAGTAGCTTTCGGCACCACCGTCACCAGGCGGTAAAATAAACAAAATATTATCGCAATTTTCATTGATCACAACGAACGGATGTTCGAAAAAATTCGAAGTGATGTCTACAAGAGAAATCAGTGGGTTTATATATTTAATGAATGTTTCTTAATTTAAAGACGTTTTACCTTGATTGATATGTAGTGATTGCCATCGAATTGGCTGCGTATCATTGGATGGAAGTGTTTGAAGTAGTTGTGCATGTTGTCGAATAGTTGGTTGCTGAAGAAAAAGACCAATCGAGAGTGATTGAGTATCAAAGTTAAATACTGATTGATAATGATGATAAAGTTCAATAAATAAAAGTGAATGACCACCAACACTAAAAAAACTGGCAGTTATAGAAATGTGATTCTCATTACAATGAAGAACTTGACACCAAATAGTGTGTATACGTTGTTCGAACTGATTAAGACGAGTATTAGATTTATCAGACGAAAGCAAAGTCGATAAAGAGAATTCGGGTGAAGGAAGTTGCTTTCGATCTACTTTTCCATTTTGATTCAAAGGTAATTTATCAAGTATAACGAATATCGATGGTATCATATGTGGTGGAAGATGAGATCGGCAATGTTGACGTAGTTCTTCTTCATTCATATGAGCAGATGATTGGACATAAGCAACTAAATAATCATCATTCCATTTCATGACAACACAAGCAGAGATGGATGTGATGTTAAGTAAACATCGTTCGATCTCACCAAGTTCAATTCGTTGTCCATGTAGTTTGATTTGATGATCTTTTCTTCCTTGATAATGAAGAAGACCATTGTTATCGATTGTGACAAGATCACCTGTTCGATAAAATAGTTGACCATCTATTTCAACAAGAGCTTTTGCAGTTAAGTCATCACGTCCAAGATAACCAGGAAAGACACCTACTCCACCTATAAGTAGTTCACCTTCTTGACTGCTAACAGATGATTGTAAATATTCACTCATAACTGTACATCGATAGTTGGGTAGCGGACGTCCAATTGGAATGTTGGTCATGTTTAGATTTCTCCCTATGACATAACATGTGCAATCGACTGTTGTTTCTGCAGGTCCATAGATGTTCCATACAGAACATACTTGTGGCAGATATGTATACAACTTATCAATAAGTTGAACTGTGCTTGTTTCACCTAGAATGTTTCAAGAATAAACATTTAATTTAAAAAATACGACACGCACCACCAATATCAAAAGTACGCAAACTGCTCAAATTTGGAACGCTATGACTTCGTAGAAATTCCAAGAAAACATTGGCATATGTCGGTACGCACTGCAGATATGATACTTGTTTTCCATTTAACGTATTCATCATATAGTCTAAAGCCATATTTCCTTGAGGACGAAGCATTATAATCGTTGAACCAGTGATTAAACCTCCAATGATTTCTCGAGCATGCACATCATATGAGCAACTTGCCATTTGTATCATAGTATCTTTATTTGTGAATAAATTCAATCGAACAACAGAATCAGTGGAAGCTAACAAATTTCGATGACGAATTTGAACCTAAAAAGCAAAACTCAAATGAAACTATTATTTCGACGAAAGTTCATCCTACTCCTTTTGATATTCCTGTTGAACCACTAGTAAAAACAATATATGCAGTATTATCTATCGTTACTACAATGTCCGAAAGGCGATCCATAATTATAGTATTGTTAATGTAGTCGACAGTCCATATTAAATCGACGTTACATAAAACGATTTCACTGGAAAACTTCAACATTGTAGAATGGTGAACAAGAACAAGACGACTTTGAGTTTGTTGTGTGAGTGCATGCAAACGATATTGTGGATCTCTAGGTGACAATGGACAATAAACACCTCCAACCATTTCAATTCCCATGATACCAATCACCTAATCCGAAAACAATCTCAAACTCTCATCAGTAATTACTCATCTTAATCAACTTACCATTGACAAACTTCTCTCAACACACTGACATATGATCTCACCTGGAAACACCTGATATTCAGTAAGAAGAGTTAAAGATAACACTTGAACATAATATAGAAGTTCACAATATGTTAATGATTGTTCATCTAGTTCAACAGCTAGTTTCTGTGGATGTTTCATGACTTGATGCACAAACTCATGATGAATACAAGTGAGAGGAGATGGAAATGTTATTTGTGTATTATTCAATGATTGCATGAGTAATCTTTCATTTGATAATATTATTGATAATTCATAGATAGGTTTGTTTGTTATACAGTCGGAAGATGTGAATTGTTCTTGTAATATCGTTTGCAATCTTTGTGCAATTATACAAACTGTTTCAGTATTAAATATATCAAGTGATGCATTGATCGTGCATGAGAATTTATTTAGATTCAGATCATGTTGAAAACTAAGAATAAAATCAAATTTACTCATTATTTCATCTTTACTAATCTTAATTGAAGAAGGTAGTAAAGAAAGTCGACTATCACCAAGCTTTATTTCATTCTCTTCATCTATTATCATCGATGATATGAATTCAAATGATGTATCAAGAAATACAGGATTTGATATATTCGAATGTTGATTGAGAATACGTTGAAGTGGAAAATATGAATATTTCATACAGTTTATCATAATATCTCGAACTTGCTTAGTGATTTTATCAAATGATAAATAAGGATCGAGTTGACATCGCAAAGGTATAGCATTCACAAACATTCCAATGACAGATCTAAGTTCATCTCTATATCGACCATGTGTATTTATTCCAATGCATAAATCTTTTTCACCATTCGTTAATTTGAATAAAAACACATAATAAGTAGCTAATGCAAGATGTTCCGGTGATATGTTATTTAATGATGCATAAACAAGAAAGTGATGTGAGAGATCTTGACCAAAATCAAAACAAACCGATGTTCCACGACCAGTTCGATGTTCACTTGCAAGACGATATCGATCATATGGTAGCGATAAAGGTTGATCGAGTTTACAATCATGAAGAGTATCAAGCCAAAACATACTTGCACCAATCATTGACATTTGTTGTTCAATAACAGCATCTATATAAGTAAAGAAAATAGTATATTAGAAAAGTAGAAGTAGTATTTATATTTACAGTCAAGATAACGTAGATCAGTGTTGTCATCATATGATAATTGACCTGTATATGCTTGATTGAAATCATGAAGAAAGATGTTCATTGATGGAAAATCAAATAGAGCATGATGAAAGTTGAAGATAAGTAGATCTTTGTCAGAAGCAAGATGATTTGAAGAGATTTGTTTGTGATAAATAATATGACATCGAAAGACAAGACCTTGAGCAAGATCAAAAAGATAAGGATTACGTTTCTCGTTGTGCAAAATCTCATTCAATTGTTCATCTGTTTCATAAGTGGTTTCGATGATTGAAAACATAGTATTATTATGTTTATGTTCATGAGTAATAACTCGTTGCATAAGTAGATTCTTTTCGATGTCAAAATAAAGTGACGTATGTAGTGAGGGGTGTTTATTAATAGTGAGATGAAGAGCATGATCAAGTTGTTTAATTGATAAGGTATGACCTGGTTGGAGACGATAAACAAAAGGCATATTGTAGATTGCTATTTGTGGTTTGTCTGGATCGAATCGAATTCTCTCGTCAAGCCAAATACGAGCTTGTGCAAATGATGCTGGTGCTAGAATAATGAGAGCTTAGTAAATTATAATATAAAAGCTGAATGGCCAAATGATTTTTGATGACAATATTTTGATCTTTTTCATCGAATTGCCTCTTTAACTGAACAGAGTTTGTTTTATTGGTATGGAATCCACGAGCGTATCTTTGTTTTGAAAGAGTGCCAGTTTATATATAAACAGGCTTATGAAAGATTTTATTATCATATTTGTTCCATTTCTTAAAACGAATTATACAACTTTCGAGCAATAGCTAGTGTTATTTTTTATTGACTAATACAAAAATAAAAGACTATTCACATATTCAAAGCTGATATTCATCACAGATCTTTACAATTTAACTTCGATTTCTCTCGCGAAAAATGTCTCGATAAGCCCGACTCCAGCTCACTTTCAGCGTCTTCATTGATCTCTTCTTAGAAGTTACAAAACAAGAGTACCTGAAAAAGACAACCTGAGTCATTGACGATCACAATTCATTTAAATTTCCTATTTTCTCATTATCTATTCTGTTAAGATTCATTCAAAAATTGAAAATACGATGTTCTTACATTGAAATGCCCTTTAATACATATTTCTCATTGCTGCTTTAACTGACTACTACTACTTTTATAAAACAATAGAATAAACTGCATACAATCATACCTTCATTCACAATATTCTCCAATCGATGAAACAGTGCTAAGTCCATTTCCTCAACTTCCTCACGAAGAATAAGAGAAACTTTGTTAATCGGTGAACTGACATTCATCGCAGGAATGTTGCTTGATTGTTTTGGAGACACTTGCTCAAACATATATTGAAATCTTTGAGCTATTTTTGAAATAGTTGATTTCTCAAACAAATCATGTGAACAAACAAAACTACATGATAATCTCTTGTTATCTGATAATGGATTGTATACAAATGTTAATGAAAAGTCAAATTTAGCCACTTCAGCTGATTGTCCTAATAATATTTGTTCGAAGTTTACATCATTCAAACTTAAATGTCCCATATCTTTCGATACAGTAATAAAATCAAACATTGTCTCAAGAAATGATACATTTGATTGATTTAATCGATTATCACCAAGAATATGTTGAAGTGGATAATGAGAATGTTCAAGAATTGATAAGCATTTCTCTCCTACATGTCTAACAAATTCATCAAACGACCAATTAGAATCAATTTGAATACGATATGGCAATGTTGATACAAGCATTCCTATCATATTCACTAGTTCACTTCGGTATCGATTAGCATTGATAGAAGAAATACATAAATCAGTCTCACCATGAGATAGTTTGAATAGGAAAACATAAAATACGGATAATCCAAGTTGAAACAGTGTGAGGTGATGCGATGATGCATAGTTTAGAAATGATGTACATAATTCATTATCAAAATTGATTTCAGCTATGGATGCTAAACCTGATCGTTGTTGATTAGTTGATAAACGTTGTCGATCCACTGGTAATGATAATGAGCATTCCATATTATATCCTTTAAGTTGTGAATGCCAGAATACACGAGATAATGACATATCCATGATATGCTCATAAACAGAATAATCTATATAATTTAATGAGTTATCATCCACAGATAATGAGTCATCAGATTGATAAGAAAGAGAAAGATCACGAAGAAAGATCGATGTTGATGCTCCATCAAACATTGCATGATGAATACTAATCAATATGTGGTCATTTTCAGTCAACAGGTCATCATTCTCATTTGAGATAATATCTTCAGAATAATGACAATGACGAAAAATATGACAACGAATAACATGTCCTTTTGATAAATCAAATAAATCAGATTGATTCAATATTTCTTCGATGATTTCATTCATATGACGAGGATCATCATTATGAAGATTAATGGTTGTCAGTCCATTTGATTTCATATCATCATTGAAAATGATATTCGTATCTAAACAGTGTTGTATAATATTACCACTTACATCATCAATACAAAGTGCTGTTCGAAGAATCTTATGTTTTGTGAGAACACTTTGAAATGCATGTTGTAATCGTGAAATTGATGGATTATCGTTTATGGATGAGATGCGATAAATCATTGGAATAACATACATATTCTTTAGTGTTGTTTTAGATGAAAATCGAATTTGTTCATCTAAATAGATTCGTTCTTGTGCAAATGATGCCCTAGCTATAATAAGAAAGAAAGCGACGAATATATAGTTGATGATAATATCTAGTAGAAGTTCCTTTATTTACCTTGAGTGACATATAATGAAGACCAAGGATAATCATTGGTATTCTGTGTCATATTCATAGATTGTTGAATGAGTTGAGCATGATGAATAATTGTTGGATGTTGAAATAGATTCGAAATAGAAAGAATATTTGTTTCTAAATGAAATTCGATTTTGTATTGATGAAATAGTTGCATGATAAGTAATGAATGACCACCAATAGTAAAGATATTTGTATCAATTGAGATTTGATTTTGTTTGAATATGTCACACCAAATATGATGAATATTAACTTCAATATCATTTGTTGGTAGAAGTATTTCTATACTGTTTCGGGGCTGTATAGATGAAAAGTGAGGTGAAGGAAGTTGTTTTCGGTCTACTTTTCCATTTGGATTCAAAGGTAACTTGTCAAGAATAATAAATATTGATGGAATCATATGTGGTGGGAGATGAGATTGACAGTGTCCACGCAATTCCTGTTCATTAGTATCAGAACTTTGAACATATGCAACTAAATAATCATCATTCCATTTCATGACAACACAGGCAGAAATAGATGTAATATTAAGTAAACATCGTTCGATTTCACCAAGTTCAATTCGTTGTCCATGAAGTTTGATTTGATGATCTTTTCTTCCTTGATAATGAAGAAGATCATTATTATCCATTGTAACAAGATCACCTGTTCGATAAAATAGTTGCCCATCTATTTCGACAAGAGCTTTTGTAGTTAAATCATCACGTCCAAGATAACCGGCAAACACACCTACTCCTCCCACTAGTAGTTCTCCTTCTTCCTGAATCACAACAGGTTGTAAAAAGCTGTTTAGAAGTAAACATATGTAACGTGGTAGTGGTTTGCCAATTGGAAGATCATGCACGTGAGAGGGCACATCAATCAAATGGCATGAAGTTCCAAGTGTGGCTTCTGCAGGACCATAAAAATTCCAAATTCGACAGGATTGGGCAACAAATTGCATCAATACCTTGATGAAAGCTGAGGACACAGATTCACCTATGTTCATAAATTAATCAATATTTATTCTATTTCGGGTGCTCTTGTTCAACTTACCTACGCAGCTAATATTTCTCATTAGTATCCATGCAGGAAATCTGTTTTGTTTGAGGAAGTCACATAAATGATTGAGATAAGTCGGAACCGCTACCAGATATGTCACTTGTTTTTCATGTAAAATATGATTGATATATTGAAAATCCATATTACCTTGTGGATGTAGCATGATTATTGTTGCTCCGCAGATTAGAGATCCCACAATTTCCAGCAAATGCGCGTCGAACGTTGCACCGGCTATTTGAATCGTAACATCACCTTCGTGTAGTGCGTCAATCCGAATGAAAGCTAGTATTGAACTGATAAAATTATGTTGTCTCAGTTGAACCTAGAAAGCAACTTCCTGTATTAAATATATATTATGTAGTAGTCTCTTTAACGTACCGCTTTAGGCGTTCCAGTCGAACCACTTGTGAAAATTATGTAAGCTATCTCTTCACCTTTTACTATCACACTTGAAAGACAATTATAATCTATGTCACTATTTAGATCATTAATAATTAATACTGAATCAATATCAAGTGAAATAATATCATTATTGAATTTGGTTTTAGTCAAATCATGAACAAGAACAAGATGACTTTGAGTTTGTTGTGTGAGTGCATGTAAACGATGTTCTGGATCTCGAGGTGATAATGGACAATAAACACCGCCAACCATTTCAATTGACATCATGCCAATCACCTAGTGAACAGCAATATATTATTCAGTTGAGCTATTGTTTTTGTCGATTAACTTACCATTGATAAACTTCGTTCAACACATTGACACACAACCTCACCTGGAAACATATGATATTCATTAAGCAGAATCAGCGATAATACTTGAACATAATATAAAAGTTCACAATATGTCAACGATTGTTCATCTAGTTCAACAGCTAGTTTTTGTGGATGTTTCATTATTTGATATACAAATTCATGGTGAATACAAGTGAGAGAAGGAAATAATACTCGTGTATTGTTGATTGATTGCATAAGTCTCTTTTCATCTGGTAGCGCTAATGATAACTCATAAACTGGTTTCTTCATCTGATCATTTGTTATAGTAAAGAGATGTTCTAACATTGAATGAAATCGTTGTGCAATCTTCTTGATAGTATCAAGATTGAATAAGTCAAGTGATGCATCGATTGTGCAGGAGAGTTGATTGGTTTCGAGATTATGTTGAATAGTAAGAGAAAAATCAAACGTGTTCTTGATTTCTTCGTCACTAATTTGGATTGAGCTTGTTGACATAGCATGAACTCGATCATCACCAGTCATTACTTCATTCTTGACATTGTAATTTTCATATGAGAGAAATTCGAATATTGTGTCTAGAAACACAGGCTTTGAAGTATTAGAGTATTGAGCAAGAATGGTTTGAAGAGGAAAATAAGAATACTTTATAGTACTCGTTACTATCTCAGAAACATGTTCAATCAATTGTTGAAAAGACCAATGAGGATCTAATTGACATCGTAATGGAACGACATTTTCGATGAAACCAATCATTGTTTTAAGTTCGTCTCTACATTGACTATTCTTATTAATGGCAACACATAAATCCTTTTCCCCACTTACTAACTTGTATATAAAAGCATAATAAGTTGCAAATACAAGATGTTCAAGTTTTATATTCATTGATGATACGCAGCAAAGAAAGTGATATGAGAAATCTTCACTGAGATCGAAGGAAACCGATACTCCACGATCAGTTCGTTTTTCACCCTCAAGACGGTATCGATCATATGGTAATGGTAGAGATTGATCAAACTTATAACCGTGAAGAGCATTGAGCCAAAACATACTAGCACTGGTCATGGACAATTGCTGATCAATTACAGTATCTAAACGAAAAAAAGAAATAGTATGCCACATAAGAAAAATGTATAGCTGAATTATGTATAGAATCGAAATACATCCTCACAGAATAGCTTTCAATCAAAATGGAAAATTTTATTTTCTGTAAGTGACTGCTCTATCTTACAAACAGGTTAAGTTCCTCAAATATTAATAATTAACTAATACATAAATAAAATGAACATTTTGAGCTCTGATGATGAGAACTGACATAATTAGTCGAAATATTACAGGGAGATATATTCTTTAATATTATTGGAAAATCAAATAAGAATAATATTAGTTCTTTTCGCTGCAAAACTCTCTTCTCTTCTATCACTACGTTAAATAAATTGTTCACTATTCGAATAGTTCGTTCGAAATTACATACTCTCAGCAATTGTTTCGTCGTTGTGTAGTAATTCTTGGATAATCTTTTTAACATAGGGAGTGCAATATGGCTCATATTTCTGTCGCCATACTGGATCCTTATAAAAATCCATACGAAGAATTTGTTGACATTCATCTTTTGATCCACATTGACATTTTAATCCGACATAAAAAGATTTTTCGGTACCTATACACCCATAATGATGTGTTATTTCGTCGCCAATATCAATGTCTCGAAATGCATAGCATTTTTGACCTTGAACGAAGCCAACATTTGGATCACAAGAATGATTGATTAATAGCTTTTGGTGGAAACGTTTTTCACAATCATCAACATTATCAGAATCCATATTTGCATATTTAACTGGAACGTTGAATAAATCATCGTCAACGTTGTAAGCTTGATAATGGATAAGTTTGCTTAATTTTGAGTTATTTTCAACCAACTTGCATAATTCTGCTTTGGTATATTTTCCTCGTTTATCATTATCAGGATAAAATGGCCATTCCTCGACCAAAGGATCGTATTCGTAAATTAATTCTTCACCTTTGTAAATTTTTTCCCTTGCGAATAAACCCTTCTGATCGACACCATATTTTGAGTCGCGCATAACTCTCAACTGAACTTTTTTGTAGAAAGGCATTTTTCACACAATATCTGAAATAAAAACATAGGCCGATCAAGACTTTCTCTTCTCTCATATTTTAGTAATAGCAAAAAGGTGTTTTAGCATTTAGAATAAGTGATGTATTTGCGTCTTTTCCTGAGGGTATGTGTATGAAGATGAGATTGATGTGTAAATCTTTTACACCCACACCCACCCCACACCCACACCCTCTAAATCCATTCCTAAATATATATGAACATACATAAATATGTATGTATATACATATGAATAAATAAATTTAAATCTATTTCTAAATATTTACCCTATTCCGCTCACTTTCACCAAGTCCTATCCTATCTCGTTTGGTTTCCCTCCTACCTTTTCTTACCCTATTTGATCCATTTCCACTCATTTCTAGCCTATTACATCGACTCCTAACTTAAATCACCCATTTCTAACCTACTAAATCCACTCCTACCCTATCTCACCCATCTCTAGCTACTCCTGTCTTATTTCACCCACTACCACTCAGTTCGCATACTCCCACCAACTTCTACCCTATTTCACTCATTTTCACCCACTTCTACCTTATTTCACCCAGTTCACCCACTTCTACCCTATTTCACTCAGTTTCACCCACTTCTACCTTATTTCACACAGTTCACCCACTTCTATCTGCTTTCATCCAGGTGATCCAATCGCACCCAGTTCTAACTAATTTTACCCAGTGTCACCCAGTTTCAACCTATTTCACCCATTCTCACCCACTTCTACCTAATTACACCCGGTTCACCCACTTCTAACTTATTTCACACAGTCCACCCACTCCCA